AGCAACTCAGGCGCCAAGATGGCAGCCGTGGAAACAGCGCCGAGGCACGATTCCAGATCCAGGCTGATGACGCGCCCCGAGAGCTGAAAGCCTTGCTGGATGAGGCCTCAGATCTGGCCGCAAAAGGCATGCATGAAGTCGAATGGAATGCATCCGGAGTCCAATTCCTGCTGAACAATTCTGGAAAACCAACTCAATGGTGTGGACGCCACACAACAAACTGGTGTCTGCAATAGCTACTGTATGTGTTTTCAGAATTAGTATGCAGATTTGGGATAAAGATGAAGATCAGTAGGCAGCTCAACAAGTTCAGCTTTGCAAGAATGGCCAGCCAAACTAAGCCGCAAATGCAATTAGCTGGCTCTGTTTTTGATAAGATCCGTGGAAGCCAATCAGCTCTCATCATTTGCCAACCGAAGGGCAAGAGTTGTCTGAGGTGGTAAAGGCATCATGAACAATAGAAAAACAAAACATAAGTGAACCAGAATATTGGGAAGTAAAGTCTAGCAACAATGTGTTTCAGAGAACGGAGCCAGGCTTCACAGAACCCCTTGTGACAAAAGGGAGCCATGCTAGAGGAAAGCCAGAACCACTGCTTGCCAAGCGGCTGTGCGTGAACCTCAGACTCAAATTAATGAAAACGCCACAACAAAGGGGAGAGAAGGGCACTACTGGACCTCCAGTAGAGAGGTTAGATGAAGGGTACCAACTTGTTTCTTGTCTATTTTAGGGGAACCCTCCCCCAAAAAAGGGGAGCGAGGGGCACTACTGGGCCTCCAGTAGAGAGGTACCAACTTTTTCTTTAGTCTATGTTAAGGGAACCCTCCCCCAAAAAAGGGGAGCGAGGGGCACTACTGGGCCTCCAGTAGAGAGGTTAGAAGGGTACCAACTGTTTTCTGTAGTCTATTTTAGGGGAACCCTCCCCCAAAAGAGGGGAGAGAAGGGCACTACTGGGCCTCCAGTAGAGAAGTTAGAAGGGTACCAACTATTTTTCTGTAGTCTATTTTAGGGGAACCCTCCCCCAAAAAAGGGAGACCTGCTTGCGAACATGTGACTTTACTCAAACATGCTGGCACAAACACACACACAGACACACAAACACACAGACACACACACAAAAACAAACAAACAAACAAACAAACAAACAAACAAACAAACAAACAAACAAACAAACACACAAACAAACAAACAAACAAACAAACAAACCAACAAACAAACAAACTCACACGAAAACACACACACACCACCCACACACACACCTACACGCACACAAACACACACACACAAACACACAAACACACAAACACACAAACTCAAACACACAAACACACACACACACACTCACACACACACACAAACGCACACACACACACAACCACAAAAACACAAACACACACACAAACACACACAAAAAACACACAGACACACACAACAGAAAACACAAAAAACAACACAAACACACACACACACACACACAGACACACACACACACACCTACACGCACACAAACACAAACACAAACACAAACACACACACACAACAGAAAACACAAAAACACACACACAAACACAACAGAAAACACAAACACACACACACACACACACACACACACACACACACACACACACACACACACACACACACACGCACGCACGCACGCACGCACGCACGCACGCACGCACGCACGCACGCACGCACGCACGCACGCACGCACGCACGCACGCACGCACGCACGCACGCACGCACGCACGCACGCACGCACGCACGCACGCACGCACGCACGCACGCACGCACGCACGCACGCACGCACGCACGCACGCACGCACGCACGCACGCACGCACGCACGCACGCACGCACGCACGCACGCACGCACGCACGCACGCACACGCACGCACGCAGCACGCACGCACGCACGCACGCACGCACGCACGCACGCACGCACGCACGCACGCACGCACGCACGCACGCACGCACGGACGCACGCACGCACGCACGCACGCACGCACGCACGCACGCACGCACGCACGCACGCACGCACGCACGCACGCACGCACGCACGCACGCACGCACGATCGCACGCACGCACGCACGCACGCACGCACGCACGCACGCACGCACGCACGCACGCACGCACGCACGCACGCACGCACGCACGCACGCACGCACGCACGCACACGCGCACACGCGCACACGCGCACACCCGCACACGCGCACACGCGCACACGCACACACGCACACACGCACACACGCACACACGCACACACGCACAAACAAACAAACAAAAAACCACCCAACCAACCAACCAACCAAACAAACACACAAACACACAAACCCACAAACCCACAAACACACAAATAATCAATCAATCAAACAACCAATCAATCACACAAAACCACACGCACGCACGCACGCACACACACAAACACATAGACACACACACACACATAAAAAAAACTCACACACACACACACAGACACAGACACACACACACAGACACACAGACACACAGACACACAGACACACAGACACACAGACACAAGACACACAGACACACAGACACACAGACACACAGACACACAGACACACAGACACACAGACACACAGACACACAGACACACAGACACACAGACACACACACACACACACACACACACACACACACGCACACGCACACACACACACACACTCGCGCACACACACACACAAACACACACACGCACACACCTAAAATCGCACATATACTTCTACTCATGCAGCGACTGTATAAATACCCCATGAATCCCTGTGTCGTATGAAGTGCTCCTTTATTTTTGCATCCGCCAGAACTGCTTAAGGTGCCGCGGACGACTCTGAGGAAGAAGATAACGAAGAAATACCCTCCAGGAGTTTCAGTGGCTTAGCGTTGTTGTTCTTACTGCAGGTCAAGAAACGGCTTCTGCGGCGGCAGCATCCATGGGGCGGGCTAGCGGGCAGCCGAGCTAGGCGAGCTTACGCGAACCTTACGCGCCTGCTTACGCAAGCTTGCGCGCCGGAGCTCCATTAGTTTTCCCCTACCTGCTGTTTCAGAAGCTGCTTTTGTCCTGGGAAAGGTTTCAAAAGCACCTCGCAGGAGCCTCAGAGCTCCCGCTCAAAGTTTTGTTGGTGTTGTTTTCTAGTGGTACGCGCGAGCGGTCTTCTCTGGACGAGTTGTGAAACAACTGTTCTGTGCATACTTGCAAAGCTTGCCAAGCAATCGCGAGGAAAAGCTTACGCGTGTCCGGGTGCTTACACGGCATGATTCCCAAAAAAGTACTTACTGCCGCTTACGGCGTGCTGGGTCTTGCTTGCGCAGGGCCTTCTTATGACACAACTCTTGCATGGGATGTAAAGGGGAAGTTGTGTAAGAAAACGCACACCCACACCCACACCCACACCAAACCCCACACACCCCCACACCCCCACCCCCACACACCCGCACACCCCCACACCCGTACACGTACACACGCAAAGACAGACGCAGACGTAGACGCAAACACACTTGCAGATGCACACGGACACGTCCACACAAAAAAGACAGACGCAAAACCAAGAAAACACGCGTACACACACAACACACTCACAAAAACAAAGCACACACACACACACACGGAAAACAAACAACTCACAACACACTCACACAAACAAAACAAGAAACACGACAAACTCACAAAACCACACAAACAAGCAAGCAAACAAGCAAACAACTCAAGCAGAACGAAACAACGCGACAACCAAAACTAAACAGAAACAAACAAACAATCAAACCAACCAACCTACCAACAGAAAGGCAGATAGATACAGAGACAACCAACCATGCAAACAAACAAACAAACGAGCGAACAAACAAACAAACAATCAAACAAACAAACCCAGAGACTCAATAAACATATAAACATAATGTGCACAAATCGGCGCAAATGTGAGCAAAGCTGCTCAGCTTCCTCCAACCAAGGCTCGGCGAAGCCTGCAAAGGAGAAGACACGTCAGATTCTGAGAGGGGCATGCAGCTTCTCAGAGACATCAAACAAGGGCTGGGTTGAATTGTTCACTATGAAACTTACCAAGATCCACCAGCTGCAAACGCCCGGCCTTGACAAATGCGAGAGATACATAGTGCCACAAGCAGTCTAGAACCTCAAACGACAGGGAGCCGAGGCGACGTGCACACTTGCAAACCCTCACCAATCAAAGAAAGCCAAACAACTGTGTTGTCTGATCAGGAGGCGAAGGTTCCCGCGCCTTGCTCAAAGCAGAAATTGGATCCGCCCACTTTCAAACTACCCTGAACTCGCTATAATGTCAAGGCACACGTCGGTTCGGTCATTTGCGCATATGGACGGCTCCCGGCAAGCTGGCTGGAGCTGAAAAGATTGCGCAAGCAGTATCTGTTGATCGAACTCATGTTTGAACCTGGCCCGCTTGAAAGCTCAATCCCTTTTTCCACTGCATCAGGGCTCCAATTTGTTGATTACTCAGCAGACCTAAACCCTGGGGTTCCCCCTAAAAAAGAAGTCAAACACCTCTGGGTTCAGTCTGCACTAGGGTAACTTCTTGCTAGGGCTGGTCAAGATTGAGGCCCTCCCGACTTGGTTTGGGCGTCTTCATCGGGGACATGAAGAACAGAACAGCGTTGCCGAAAAACAACCCATTGGTTGCAGCGGAGTCCCACGTCTCGTACTGCAGCACACCTTGTTGCGACATCCAATTTCAGAAGCACGCGCCCCCTCATTTTCACGATGCTGCGTCTGTCACAAGGGCGCTGTTTTTGCACCCGCGTGAAACACAAAGCCTGTCCCACCAGGCCAGCGCAGCAATGGAGCAATGGCTGACTCGCAGTGGAGAACTCGAGCTACCACCCCCTTTCCCTCCCGGAGCAATGCTCCGTGCAGGAATGGAAGGCACCCATTTTGCTGAGCGATTTGTTTGGCTCTGCGAGTCAAGGGAGGATTGGCTACTGCGTGTGCTTGAGACTTGGCACGTCTCACAGCGGATCTGGCAACAGTCGGTCCTCGCAGGCTCTCGCGGCATTGGGTGGGAGATGGATTGTGGGGTTCCCCCCAACCAGATTTTCATATTCAAAAAAGTGAGCTTGAGTTTGATAGAACCACCAGAATAACAAGAGAATTGAAAGTGGAAGCTGCCTCCAGGAGGCCTCCCCCTCCCTGAAATTCCATTTGCGGGTCAATGCACCCTTCCACACCGTTTTTGGAACGCAGCAACTGGCGGAAAGCAGCAAGGGAACAGCCTAGAACAAGGCAAATGCAAATCCAAACGGCGCCTGAAAATGGAAAACTGAGGGGGGAGGGTTGGATTACCTGACCAGATGCAGGAAGTACACCTACCGCCCCCCTCAGATTTCCTAATGCGTACATCCTTCTGCACATATGAAATGGAACGAATGGCGGGCGACGCGTCGGCACCTCAAGTTGAAGATTTCGCCATGTTCTTTTTTTTGGGGGGTATCCCTCCCAAGCAAAGTTGGAACAAGCACGTCGCAGGTCTTTCTTCCAATTTCCACTTGGGACCTCCCCCCCAAGCGCAGAAAACATGTACTGGAAGTATTCCAAAACCTGCCTCCCCCATATTCCATTTTCGAGCGGGTTGGGATCCTTCCAATCGCAACTGCAGCCCCAAACGCGCACGTGTTTTGTGTAGGGCGTCTCTTGGCATCACAGACAATGCCCTGAAACACTGTGTTTTCCGCGCAACCATGCTACCACCTGGAGGCCAACTCAAGGGAAATCACAACATATTTTATTTGGGCATCGCGCCCCCAGGAAACACCTGATCATTTGCGATCCTCCGCTCTCGGTTTCCTCATGTGGTGTTGTCACGCTGACCTTCATTCTGAACACATGTCATTCACGGGTTGCGCCCCTTGCCTACCCACCAGCTTGCATGTCTTGCTCTGCAGACCTCACAAACCACGCCTTGACCTCAGCAATGGACGTCGATGGCGTCACCTGTGGCTCCGCTTGAGGTGACTCTGGCACTCTACAACCTTGCGAAACTGATCTGGCTGGGCGCCACCTGGGTGACCATGGCAAAAAAGCCACAAGAAATGAGCAGGCTACCCATGTTTGCAGCCAGCCATATGAGCTGAGCCAAATCCAGCGATGGCAAACTCGGCGTAGCAAAATCGGATGGAGTGCAAGATGGTTGCCTCGAATGTTTCAAATCCATCCATCCATCCATCCATCCATCCATCCATCCATCCATCCATCCATCCATCCATCCATCCATCCATCCATCCATCCATCCATCCATCCATCTATCCGTCTATCCGTCTATCCGTCTATCTATCCGTCTATCTATCTAAAATGCATCAATTGAAGGCCCCTATGCCAGGCATCATCACCGGTTGCCAATACATGTGCAAGGCCAGCAGAGTTGGAAGTGGATTGAGGATCCAGCATCACCTACAAAGCACGTGTTCACTCTCAAGCCCGAACCTAGCTTGCTCAAAGAACACAGCGTCACAAGCAGCTGTGTTGGCAGAATATATTCTTTGTATCTTGATGAACCGCTCTTGCGCACGAAGCCCATCTACTGAGATGGCAAGACGGGCATGAACAGCAAATACATCTTTGTGAGACACCCGGCTGCAGGCAGGTGTCGCTGAGTTGCCAGGCGGTTGCCTTCTGCTTGCTGTAGATCTCCTGATAAGGCCAAGCAAAACACGGTGATCTCCCAAAAGCAAAACATTGGGCAGGGGGCATCATCCGGCCGGCGCTCTGATCATTTTGGAGGGTCATGACTTGTCAGCATTCGCTGGACAATACTTGCTCGTTCCTAGTGGCTCTGTCAAATTAATCCCTCCCTTTTCTCCAATTTTTTGGCAACACCAAACAGTGCGACTGCGTGTCCCAAGTTGGCTATGTTCATAAAGCATCCGTCTTACCTGTGAGCCTCTGGATCCTCCCGGCTCCTGAACTGCAACCACCAATGCCTCCTGGCAAAGGCAAACGCTGGCAACCAGGTGTACACCGCAGAATGCACTCAAACACACATCTGGTGGTAAACATCGCAATACGCTTGCCAGCAAATGTGAGATCAAGCAATGATCAAAGCGGCTTCACATAACAGTATCTGTTGTCATTTGCGGAATGGACACATTGAAGCCTCTCTGGTGGACACAAGATTCGCAGCCTTTGTGTTCATCCAGTGCATCTTATCTGGGGGGTTGTTTTGCTTGAGAAGCATCAAGCAAGCTAGTGATGCAGCTTCAAAGGACCTGTTGGACCATCATG